TTACAAAAGAAATAACTCATTGTGTCTTTTCTTTTTGTTCCTGAAACTACTGCACTACCCTGGAATAGTTTTAATTTAATGAATAACTTTTTTCTGCTCTATAACAAAATTAGTCTGAAATTTTCTTTCCTCTAGTTTATCCTTAGCTACTCTATTTTCCTTTTAGGAAAAAAAACTTAAAAGGATTCATAATTTTATATCATATATCTATTTCTACCAGAGTATACAATCACAATAGTAGAATACTATGTACCCAGGACTATCTTGGGGTTTTCTTTTTTTAGAGGGCGAAGGGAAGAGGTTAATTAACAGCTGCGTTTATGAGTGAATTTTATTTCTATTTGATCTGCAGTAAAAAGATTGATCTTTCAGTTATTAAATGGTTTCTGCTGTTGACAAGAAGTGTTAATGAAAATGTTAATGATATACTAAGACAAAATAGATTGCTTTAGATATAAAACTTTGTAAGGAAAGTTTAGAATTAAAGATTGGAGAGTAAAATAAAATCGGATTTAATTTTTGGGTACTACAAGGTGGAATTGTAATATAGGAAGGAGACACATGTGTGTGTGTGTGTGTGTGTGTGTGTGTGTGTGTGTGTCTGGGGGAGAGAAAGGAAGAGGAGGAGGAGGAAGAGGAGGAGGGGGAGCAGGAGGAGGAGCAGGAGGAAGAGTAGGAGGGAGAAAGGAGAAAGGAGGAAGGAGGAAGGGGGAGGAGGGGAAGAGAGAGGAGGTGAAAAAGGACAAGAGAACAGACCCAGGGATTTCCACCTGGGTCAAGCCTCACACATCCAGTATTTTCCATTCTGGTATGAATAACATTTCACAGATCTGAACAACCAGAACACCCACCCATTTCCCCTTACTTTAAGATCTGCACGATTAAGAATTGCTCCTCTGACTTTAATTTTTATTCAACAGTCAGTCTTCCTGGGAAGGCCGGTACAATTATTTTAAAAGCAGGCGACAGGGTGCGAACCACCAAGAGCCTTCTTCAAACCAGACACACGACCTTTCTTCCTCTGGTTCTTGTATTGCTCTTCTTAGTCTAGCCAGAAGAGAACCAGACAAGTTTATTTACACACACACACACACACACACACACACACACAC